AATTAATAAATATAATTAAAAATATTAATAATCTAAATTAATAATATAGATATATATAATAATTATCTGCATAATAAAATATTAAATCTAATATATTAAATATATGAATAATTATTTATATATCCAGAATGAAATTAATCTTTATAAAAAGTAATATAAAAGTTAATTTATAATATAAATAGCATAAAATAAAAATCTAAGCTAAAGAAAGATAATCTAATTAAAATTATTATATTTATATTATTCTTAAATTTTTTATATATATCTTATTTTTTTATTTTATTTATTTATTTATTTATAATTTTTTTATTTTAAATCTTATAATTATATATTAAAATAGTAAGTGAATTATAAATAAAATTTAGATAAAATCTATATAATCTCAAAAATATATAAATATCTCTATTTTTAAATATAAAATAAATATATTTAAATAATTATAATTCTTTTATTTTTAATAATATTTGAATTATACTTATCTTATAATTATTTTTATTTTTTTATCTTGATATTTACTTTTATTTATCTCTTCTATTATAATTAAAAATAATATAATAAATATATAATACTTATTTATAATTTATTATAATATATTATAATTTTAAAAATTTATAAGTTATAACTTAATGATATTTTATTTGTTATTATATTATAATAATTATTATACTATTTTTAATTATAATAAATTATATTTTGATTAAAGATAATATAACTTAATTATAATTCTCTAATTAATTATTATAAGTTATAATTAATTAAGATGATATCTTTAATTCTGATTAATCATATATTTTTCTATTTGAAAAATATAAGTAATAGATGCTCTTTACTTAAAATAAGTCAAGTATATTTTATTTAATTTTATAAAATTTTTTATAAATTTTCCTATATATAAAAATTTTAATTATTTTTAATATATATCTTTTATTTGCTTAATAGTTAAAAAGATATTATTAAAAAATTTAGTAAATATAATAAATTTATAGTTTTATTATTTATTATTTTAGCTTTAGATATTTTATTTTTGTTATATTTTATAATTATATCTCTTGTTAATTATTTTTATTTTTATCTTGTATTAATATAATACTTGTAAATATTAGTATTAAAAAATTTTTAGAATAATTATAATTTCTTTATCTTTATAAATAATTTAGTTTTAGCTTTTAAAACTTATTATAAATTATATTTCTAATAAAATTTATTTTCACAAATATAATTTATAATAATAAGTATTTTAAATTAAATACTTATTATATATTTTAATCAGAATTAAAATATCATATTAAAGATAATATTATAACTTGATCACAATTCTCTAATTAACTATTATAATTAATTATATTTTTTGATTAATTATTGCAAGTCATAATTAATTAAGATAATATCTTTATATTATATGATTTTTTATTATATAAAACTTATTTTATTAGTTAATTACAATAATATATTATATATAAATAATTTTTATTAAATCTAAGTCTCTAAAAAATTAATTATATCTAATTATTTTAAGAAATATTTACTTAATTAAGATTTATACAAATTTTTAAGAATTTCTATATATTATTAGTTACATATATGACATACTATATTATATATTATTAACTATATTATATTATATTATATATATAAAATTAAAATAAATTCATATAATTAACAAGTTAAGATTTCTTATATTATATAATAAATAAAAATTCTTACTAATCAAATATTATATATTTATTTTTATATATCAAATAAAATTAATTTTATATAATATATATTTGTTTCAATTTTAGTTTTTAAATGCTTATAACTTTTTATAAAATTATTTTTTTGAAAATTTAACTAGTAATATTATAAAATATATTATAAAGAATAATATTACTGATTTAATTTTTTTAAATTTTATTTTTGAAAAGTGCTAATATTGTAATTTTTTATTTAAAATATTTTGAAAATATTTTATTCTATAGACTAAAATCTGATTTATATCTGAAGAAATATATTATTCAATAGTGAATATTCTAAAGTGAGAAATTTGTATTTAGAAAATATAATATTAAGAAAATATAATTCATAATAAGTGTAATACATATTAAATTTTTTTAATATATCAATCAATCTTTTATTTTTTAAATTAAAATTAAGTTTTTAATTACCAATCTATAATAGAAAAATAATATATTATACCAAAAATATAACAAAGATTAAAATCAAAAATATAATTAAAGTATATGTAAAAAATTAACTATACTTACTTATCTCAAAAATAAATCTGATATTTCAAGATAATTTGGATAACTTTGTTGAAATAATTGAAGATAATAATACAATATCACAAAGTCATCCAATTGATAATTTTGAAGATGAATATTATAATATTGAAACAATAGATTTTATAAATATATGAAATTAGACTTGAATTTATTATTAAGATATAAAATAATATATTCAAATATATTGTTAGAAGGATATAAAGTTAAAATTTATAATGTACCTGGATATAATACATTTGACCAATATTAATACCTATGAATTAGACCTGTTATAATTCATGGGAGATATGATGCTATAGAGAAGATGTTCTAAATGGCAAATTATGATAGATTTTAGATTATATTTTTGAGTTAAGACTTCTTGCATCATATTAAAAATAATAATAATATTTAATAGAAAATTACATATTATTTTGATAACTTTGTTTTTATAACAAGTTTACAACATTATTGGTCAAATTTTTAAAAGTTCTGTTTTAGCAAAAATTGAAATGAATGCAATAACGATAACTAATTTGCCATGATCATTTTCGATTTCCCAATAAGCCATCGTTATATGGAAAAAATTGAAACATTTCATGTGATTGTCGGGTATTGATTACTTTAGTACATATGTTACATACATAATATGTAATAAACATATCACACGGAAAAAGAATTGTTCTAGACCAAATACGCGTATCGTGTAATAAACATATCACACGGAAAAGAATCGTTCTAGACCAAGTACGCGTATAGTAAATATACTATCGCATGTCAAAGTTCTTGCTCTACGTCACTTTCGTCGCATCAACGATTTATATCCATCTCTTTTTCCGATAACTTTTTTGGAGGAGATTACTATAAAATATTAACCAATTCTTTCTTTTATACATGTGCTACTCGTGCAAAATTTAAAGTAGTTGAATTATGCAAGTTAACTATTATTTATATTCTCCTTAAATTAACGTTAACTGATGATCTATTACTATACAGTCACCTCCTGGATAGTAACAATGACTTCTACAATGACTTCTAGGGCGGGAGGAAGACTGTAATTTGTGTATGACAATACGCGCGCATAATGTACACAAAAATCATAGAAATTTCTATTTTTATTTTAGCGATTCAACTCGTCAACAGTCATTGTCTTTGCTGAAAATAGAAAACAAGTCCATCTTCATAAATGAAACAATTAGGAATTCACTTTTTACTTTTTTTAATGTGGCCAGTTGTTGCATAAATCATTATATGACATATATATACACTGAATAAAGTACTTAAACACATACATGCACTAAACAAAGTACTTACACACATACATACACTAAACTTGCAATTAACGTTAATACGATATAAATACGTGTACATGTAGCTTGAGAATGAACAAAAAAAATAAAAACCTATTAAGATAACAATGTCTTCAATTACTTTATGCGGAAATAACGAGAATAATAACGAATTTCATAATGATAAAATCTTAAACGCACAAAAACCACACAATAACAAACGCATAATACTGTTTCCTTTCAACAACACTGAAGCTTCACGTGAAATTTATCAATGGGCTCTCGAGAATTATTTTCAAAGTGAAATTGATCATATATATTTGCTTTCTGTGATAAAAACACCATGCCTCTTATCCCCATTATACTCTTCCGCCGGTTTATGGATGTTTGGAGCGGGAATGCTCAGTGGAATTTCAGTTGAAGCGGAATATTTGGATTGGCAACGAAGAAAAGAAGCTGAAGTTCGCTCGTATTTAGGCGAACTTAAAAATGAATTATCATCGAGAAATGTATGCTTCTTTTCTTTTTATACTGATAATAATTCATGATATTTGATATTGATATTAATAATATAATAAACAATATAATATTTTCGATAGATAACCAGCAGCATACTAATCATCGAGGGAAACCCACGCGATGAAATCTTAAATATGTGTAATAATATTGATCCAGATGTAGTATTAATGGGTACAAGTTTGAAAAAGAACACGAATTTACTGCGTTCCTCATCAATAGTTTACGATATACAAAAAAAATTGGCTTCAACCACAGTTGTCACGTTGAATAGAGATGATAATAATAATGTTCGACAACTGAATAATGGCTTTTTATCAAAGCAAAGTATGAATTTTTTTCAATTTTCATCTTTCTTTATAACTTACTTTAATAAATCATTATTCTCTCTAATGAAAACTAGGAATTCGTGAAATGATTGGATACTTAAAATACTCTTTACGTCGAAAAGCTAGTTATTCGAGTTTTTCAACGGAAAACACTTATACGAAACTTGAATAATGCGATTTATCTATTAATGTTTATTCTCCAAATCTTTTGTAAATATTTTTATAATTATAGCATCATCTATATATTACACCACAATAGAAGTTTCTTATATAGATAAAAAAATAAAAAATGAAAATCAAAACTAATTCTTTAAATATAAATAAATATAAATATAAATATATATAGATATATGTATATTATTATCATCGATTTTTCACGTTCTACCATGGAAGAGTTGCTCGTATACCATGTTGAAAAATCTTCAATTCCCGGCATTTCAACTATCTCCAATTTCTTCACCAAACTGACCAAACATATAAATAGTCATTATACGATCATCGCTTAAATAACGTTAAAGTTACTGTGAGGATTGTAACATTTCGAACCCAAATTTTATTTCGAGAAAATTTTTTGCGGCTGGTTTGAGATCTATAATTCATCAATTAATTGTGCTCACCGGATGAATTCCTGATCAGTTCCCCATTAAATTCACGTTGGTCAATTGTGGATGTTGAAGAAAAGAAACGCGTCATCGATCAACGCGAGAAACATTTGCCATAAACAGGCGTAGCACTAATAGCACTACAAATTGGGATCTGGTATAATATTTTTGGCAAATCAGTAAGAGTTTACGGATAAAATTTGATATCGATATTAAAAGTAGAATTTCCGAAATTCATGGTTCTGGGTGTCAGGATTAGGTATATCGGGATTTTGGTGCGTCGGGATGTTGGGATTTAGATTTTTGGTTTCGGGCAACGTTTCTCCAACAAGATATATTCCCGACCCGACAAGGAGCTTCTCGACGTCATTTCATCGACATCCCATTTTACGTAATGATAGTACCGATCTTATTACTCTAGCATGCTGGTAAACTGGGATGTCGGGATATGGTGTCGGGAAAACTTCTTGTCGGGGATCTATACTTTCGGGAAAAGGGTTGTCGGGAATCGGGCCATACAATCCATATACATGTACGTTAAAATTAATTTTTAATCTTTCACTAATAATCAGTCAATTTATTATCGGATAAGTTTCTATAAAGTTACAAACGAAAGACAAATTTCATTATTAAATTAAATTTGACTGGTAGATTACAAATTTCAGTAGTTCTAATAACTCAACCTAAAATTACAGACTATGAAAAAAAGACGCAGGAATTAATTTACAGCGAAGGAGTGAGAAAGGTGAGAGTGTATGGTGTAGGACTGCGGATTGATTACAGAATGAATAATAATGCGTATATTTATATAAATGCTATAGGAAATAAATGTATTGAGGGATTGTCGCGATGAAATATGAATAACGGGGATTAAAGGGTGATGGGCTTCTATTAATAGGTTATGGTTCCCAGAGATCTTCGCGGTGTGATGCTGTCACGACACGGGAAGGATTCAATTCATTAGTTATCGTTCATTTCCTATTCTCTATCTAATTTTTACCTCTATAGTATTCGATTAATGACGGTTGATATTTCCTAATACATTTGTTTTACATATGGTTGAGTGGTGTAAACTCGACTTCCACGTCGGTATCGCCAAAAACCATAACCAGCAGCAGCAAGCACAGTTACTGAGCAAAGTGCAGCTACGGGAGCTACAAGTTTAGGCAATGATGTTGGTTGATCATAGTTTGGTGTGCTTGGAACAATTTGTGAACCATTTGTTCCCGGGGCAGCCAAGTTAATTGGTAGACCAGCACCAAGAGTAGCATAAGATTGTGAATCTGAAGTGGCATTGGGTTTTTTCGTGGGACCATAACCGTCCGGTGGCCATGTTGTCGATGAATTACCGTTATCTAGAATCACATGGATTAGGATCAATAATTGGATGAATAGAAAGAATATATTATGATATACTATATATACTTACAGAAACAAGTGATGTTGACCCAATCGACATACATGCTGTATACTTTACTTTGGTCGCTCCAATCAGTTGGAGAACCAGCCCAATTGGCAGTACCTGGAGGTCCCATACCACCATCCCACATTGAAAATTGAATTCGCGAAGGTCTTGATGGGAATTTAAACTGACCAAGTTGATCATCCCATGTATCCTTTTGATTAACTGTGCGTGCGGTTACACCATCGATTATCCAACTATTAATTATTGTATTATTATTGGTCATTATTTGGCTTATTGATTATTTAATTAAAAATTTAATTAAATAAAAAAGATTACCTAATATGATCAGGCATCCATTCAATTGTATAGATGTGAAAATCGGCGGTAGTATCGGCTCCGACTTGGTGATGCATACCTTTCGTGTAGTCAAGTGTGCCATTATAATAATAATTACTTTGTACTTCATTGGGATTAAGACCAACCCATTCGTAATCAATTTCATCACCGACCAAATTTTTAGTCTAATGATAATATTAATTAATTTATTTGTAAGCATCATAACATCATCATCATCATCATCCATAATCATAAAAAGAAAATACTCACAATGAAAGATGAAACTACACCCTTAGCAGTTGACCCTGTCTTAATGCGTGCTGTCACTGTTCCATATTCCATCCATCTTGTGCTACTAACTGTTGAACCAAACCCTTGGTAGTTTCCTTGCGCATTTTTATCTTTTCCGTCATATTTCATGCTAAGTTGGATTGTACCGTCCGGCATATAAGTTGTATAATCCGGTGTAAAGTCTGACGTCCAATTAGCTGCTGTTGGATCTCCCGTAAAGTTTTGCCAATTTACCAAACTTGGCTTTGAAAAGTCATCATATAATGATACACATGGCGGTTCGGGAAAACAGGATTTAGGGGAGAATGAATTTTCTGGCTCACAACCTGGAACACAAAATTGAACTTTTATGAGTAATAGAGTAAAAAATAAATTATTTAAATCAATAAAATCCATTTGGACTCACCAGTAGAACAGAATTTAGGATCATTTGAGCACCACCCGTTATTACAACAAGGTGCATCTTCTGGACAGTTTTGTCCATAATTTGAACAAGCAGCACTTACTAGTGAGGATAACTGAGAAAGTATCACTATGGAAAATAAAGATATCTAAAGATTACAAGACAGAAAAGATTAAAATGTGACTATACGTGTCGCGTAAAGATTTTGTCAAAGATGAGTATGTATTTTTATCTTGAACTCTAGCAATATCAGATATTGCATGAAAGAGTAAGAGTATTATTATTACCTGTATAAACCGCATTTTTTAAATTATTTTAGGATAAGTAAGGAGGGAAGGTCCTAGTTGACCGTGGTTTGTGGTAGAGTATGTTTAGCAAATATAATTAAAATAAATGCTAAAGGAGGATAAAGGGAAAAACGAGCGAGCAGGAGGAAAAACGCGAAGAGGGTAAGGGAAGAATAAAGGAAAGATTAATTTCTAAAGAAATAAGAGAACGCGACAAATTAAAGGGAAAAGTTGATGTGGTACTTGGTTGAAGTTGTGATTAATTAAGCCGCATTTTGTGCCACACAAACCGACCAAATGCATTTTGTGTTCACGCCGTGATAATCTGTATTGGTACGAGCCTCACTTTTACCAAAAACATTTAATTAACCCGTTGTCGGACAGGAAAATCAAACAAGTATAAAAGCACAAGTTGGCAATGAAATTTTGAGATCGTGTGTAATGTTAAACGAATTATTCGAATTGATTGAAAGGGATGCAAATATCAAAGCCCGAAGATTTTCTAATTTTTGGTTCCACCAAGCACAATCAAACTTTTATTGGTTCTTAATCACAAAATTTCTAAAGCATGAATATTTGTTGGTGTAATTTTCCACACTTTGTTCACTTAACTTACTAATACAATAAATATAGAACATCCTCTTTGTTTCAAAAATAAAAGTTTCGGCCATTATTTTTAGCTAATTTAAATAATTGAAAATTATATACGAAGTCCACCAACGAGAAGTCTTTGTACAACGATTAGCGATATAGAATCTAAAAAAAAGGATTTTGCCATAAAAGAGCAAATGCTCTAACGCTAAAATCATCTCAAACATCAGGCCGAATTCTGTCATAGATATCTGGTACACTACATTTAGTATCAATAAGATTGCTTGCTTGATTGGTGAAATACTCTCTTTTTGCACAACAGAATGAGACAAAACAATCGTTCACTTAGTCAAGGTATTTGGCTTTTAGATATTTTACAGGCGACTGTTACTCAATCTGCGCCCATTACTCTAATTCATTGAAGCAAAAAACGAATCAAAGTGATTCTGATCAGTTGCTTAAACAAAAGTTTTCTTGAAAAGATTATTGGATGCAAAACAAATTCGAGAAAGCTACTTTCTGGGATGAGATTCTAAATAATTTATTGTTATTAATTTTTTCTTTATTAAGATGATTGTTGGGGTTGTCTTAGTAAATTTTTAAAGATCATAACAAGTAAGCTGGTGACTTTTGATTAGAGAAATGAACTATATTTTTTATGATAAGCCTTTCATTTAATTAGGTTATAACATAAATAGAAAAGAGAATTATTAGAAAATGAAAAAGAATATAATAATATTTATTCTTAATGACTTTGATTATGTGAAAAGTATTTTGTCTTTCGTTTTCATGTTTTTTATTAATTTCAAGTTCTTTTTATTCATTCAAACCATCATTATTATCAATAATAATAAATATAATTCTTTCTAAATTAAGAGATTACTTTAAAATCAAATATATATTTTATAATAATATGAGTAAATAAATAAGTTTTTTTTTGAAATTATTTAAATAAAATATCATAATTTTATATAATAAATAAAATAAATAATAAAATAATTAGAATAGAATTTTAAATATAACTTTATTTAAATTTAAATAAAGTGAATTTATAATTATAAGATTAAAAAGATTAATTTTATAAAATATAATAAAAATTGAATTTTATTTTAAAATTTATAATCTTATTTAAGAAATAATTTTTAAAATAAAATTTATAATTTATAATTTAATATATATTTTTAAAGTTTTTTTAAAATTTTTTTAATTTAAAATTATTATAAATTTTTTTTTAAATAAAATAAAATATAATTAGAAAAAATTTTAAAATTAGAATAATTTTTCAAAAATAATTAGAAAAATTTTATTATATAATATATAATAAAAAAATTTGAAAATTTATTATAATTTAATAAAAAATTACTCAAATAATATAAATATATATATATATTCTAATATCTAAAAAATTAATTAAAATTATTTATTAAAAAATATTAATATTATTTTTTAGATTAATTTTTTAGATTAAAAAAATATATATATATTTATATAAAAAAAGTTCTATAAAAAAATAATTTTAATTATAATTTTCTTTATTATAGAATAAATAATTTTTTAAGCTTTAATTCAAATTTATAAGAAATATTATTAAAATTTTTATTAAATTATATTATTTTTTATTTTAAATATAAAAAATATATAGTAATTCTTATAATTATAAAAATAAATAATTAATTTAATTAATATAGACTATTATAAAAA